ACTTCTTTGGCAAATATCTCGGAAACGAAGAAGAATTTCTGAATAGTTGTTGAACAAAAAGTGTTCAAAATCATGAGAGCTTTAAAGTGATATGAAGAAAAAGGGGCTGGACCCTCACAATAGGGGATGAGAGGGGCCAAAAGTCTTTAATCAATAACTCTTTAATGATCAATATTTTTGTAATGCACTACGGAAGCGAAATTGTTTATCTCAACAACTATATATTATGATATTTTTATCATATGTTGCATAATTCGGGACCATAAGGGGCCAGAATGCAAAATCTTTGACGCTTTATAACTCAAAAGTGGGAAATATTTTGATAAGCAGTATTGAACAAAAGATGTTCAAAAAATTGTTCTAAACCATATGCAACCTTTCATTTTTTGCTAAACGTTCCCATTAAAGAGTTGTAGGGCCAGCCCCTAAATACTTCTTTTGCATATATCTCGGAAACGAAAAAGAACTCCTGAATATTTTTTTTAAACAAAAAGTATTCAAAGTCATGGGAGCTTTATTGTGATATGAAGAAAAAGAGACTGACCCCTCAAAAAAGGGGCCAAGAGGGACAAAAAGTATTCAATCAATATCATTTTAATGATGAGTATTTTGTAACACAATACTGAAGCAAAATACTTATTCTTTATTGCTATAACTATATAACATGTTGGCATCATATGTTACGCAATAAGGGATCATTAGGGACCAGATTGCCGAATCTTTGGCCCAATATATCTCCAAAAGGAGGAATATTTTGGTAAGTAATATTGAACAAAAGATGTTCAAAATATGTTCTCAACAATATGCAATCTTTCTATTTTTTGCTAAACATCCCCATAAAGGAGTTGAAGGGCCGGCCTCTAAATATTTCGTTTGCATATATCTCGAAAACGAAAAAGAATTTCTAAATAGCTTTTGAACAAAAACTATTCAAAATCAGGAGAGCTTTAAGATGATTTCAAAAAGGGGCTGACCCCTCATAATAGGGGCCAAGACGGGACGAAAGTCTTTCAGCAATAACTCTTTAATTATCAATATTTTGTAATACATTACTGAAGTAAAATTGTTCGTTTTAACAATTTATTCATATCAATATATCTGAACGAAAAGTCTCAGTCAAAATCTTATCTCATCTGATTAAAAATCGGACGGAAGACCCACTCGTTGCTCGCAACGAGATCGGATCTAGTTATTATTATTATTTTATTATTATTATTATTATTATTTTTGGATGATTTGAAGTCATTTTTAAGGGTAATCGTCTTATTTTCTAACACAAAATGAATGAAAATTAAATTATAAGCAATTGATTTATTAGCTGCGCAGTTTTATACAGTATACACTGGGTTGGAACAGTTTACAATTTTTTTTTTTTTTTTTTATAAATTTCGTCGCGGTTTATAAATCGTAAACTGCCCCAACTCAGTTTATATCTTATAAAACTGGGTAGCTATTAAATCCATTCCTTAATTTTATTTTTAATCTTCTCAAGGACCACCGGGCTAGAGATATGCAAGGATCCTCGGCTTGTGTAGATTCAAATTTGTTCAAATCATCACTCCAGCGAGTGGGGTAGGGTGGGGCTGATCAAAATCCAAAATGTTCACAAAGGAATATATATATATATATATATATATATATATATATATATATATATATATATATATATATATATATATATATATATATATATAGGTATTTCTATTTTTAAAATTTTCTCAATAACTGCGAAGATGATTAGTATACTGAAGCACTCATAGGTAGTGTAGATTCAATGTTTTTTTCCCCTCCTTTTTCTTCAAATTATGACTCCCGGGGTCTGTTGGGGTCACAATAGGTGATCAAAGTTTACATATAAATATATAGGAAGAAAATCTTCTGATGCAGAACTATCGGGCCATAGTGACTCATGTAAGCGATTTGACCCAAGGACCTCTTGTTATTATTAAACATGGCTCTGCTATTAATTCTCCGGAAAAAGATTTTTAAAGATTTTTTTCCTATAAATTTCTCTGTTAAACTTTGATCCATTATTTTGGTCCCAGCCTTACCCATGTACCTATGATTCTGTGCTACATGTACCTTAATATGCCCGTATAGTAATTTGATTAGTTACGGCCCATGTTCTTGAAAAAAAGACTATATTAAAGTTAAATCCCCGTATAAGAATTTGATCACCTTAATTCGAATGGTGGTCCTCGCGAAATTTCACTATTACAAATTTTTCGCGCACATTTGTGAATCTACAGAATTTCTTAATTATTTCCCCTTAGAAGAGGATGTGGACCTTTTTATAGCAAGTCTGATCCCCCTCCTTCACTAAAGGGTGCTTTATGGCAAGCTTGCTGAAAATTGGTTCAGCAATTCTGGCAAAAGGAGAAAAATAGAAAATGTGTAAAGTTTACAGACGGACAAAAGCCGGACAAATGGTGATCAGAAAGGGTCAAATAGACAAACAAAGAAGGAAGAATTCTGTATAGTCCTTTTTACGCATATGTAGACAGCCAATCAGTAAAATCTTACTGTACTATATATTGTTCTCCAGTCCCAAGCGCTTCAGCACATATAATTTGAATGAAAAAATACATAATCATTCTTTTGTTGCTATACTTACTAAATACAGCTTTGTACTTTTTATGCCCCCGGATCGAAAGATCCCAGGGGTATATTGTTTTTGTCCTGTCTGTCTGTTTGTCTGTTTATCTGTTTGTCTGTTTGTCCGTTTGTCTGTTTGTTTGTCTGTCGTCAACTTGCCCATAACTTTTCATTGGTGCTATGACTTTCATATTTCACATGTGTATTCCTTGTGACAAGACCTTTCTTTGGGTACCATCATATTTGACATTTTGACCTTGACCTTGGAGTTTGACCCACTTTTGCAAAATTTTATGAGACTTTAACCTTGGCCATAACTTCGGAACATTTGGTGCTTGGGGTTTCAAACTTCACATGTGTATTCTTTGTGACAAGACCTTCCTTTAGATACCAACAACTTTGACCTTTTGACCTTGACCTAGGAGTTTGACCTACTTTTGAAAAACTTTAACCTTGGCCATAACTTTTGAATGGTTGATGCTAGGGCTTTCATTCTTCACATATTTAATCCTTGTGACAAGACCTTCCTTTGGATACCAACCATTTTGACCCTTTTGACCTTGACCTAGGAGTTTGACCTACTTTTGAAAAACTTTAACCTTGGCCATAACTTTTGAATGGTTGGTGCTAGGGCTTTCATACTTCACATATGTAATCCTTGTGACAAGATCTTCCTTTGGATACCAACCACTTTGACCTTGACCTTGACGTTTGACTTTTATTTAAAAAACTTTAACCTTCGCCATAACTTTTGAACAGTTGTATCTAGGTCTTTCAAATTTCACAGGTGTATTCCTCGAGACAAGACCTTTCTTTGGGTATCAACATTTTTTATCTTTTGGCCTGGATTTTGACTTGCATTTGAAGAAACTTTAACCTTCGCCATAAGCTGCCATACGGGGGCATCAGTGTTTCACAAACACATCTTGTTCATTTTAAAATGACTTGATATTGACCACATATGCATAAAAATACAGGTCTTTGCTTTCAACTCAAACAATACAGGGAAAATATTTTCAAGGGAGACAATATAATTTTTATAGTAATATAAATTGAGCATTATAAATGTAGTTGTATTAATTGAGCGATCATGCATTCATTTGTGGTTTAGTCACATAACAATTGATACAGAACGGAAATTATTTACCTTAAGGAAGGATTCTTCTCTTATTCTACTTATATTTCTTGTATTTAAAAATTAATGAAATTTTCATAGATTCAAGAAGACAATATCACTAAGCGATGGTATCAATTAGATTAAATTTGACCGTTTTACTTTAGAAACAAGGTCAGGTCAAGGTCATTATCTTTTTCCTTGACATTTAGAGTGTAAAAATACTGTTGCTAATCATGTGAGGCCTACTTCTATTTTAAAAGATAAAATGTTTTTCTTTTTGCACAAAAAGATGTTACCATATCGGGTCTATCAGATGATTCTGCCAAATTAATTGACATTATTTAACTTAAATAGATATTGGCTAATCCAGATTTCCTTTAACTTAAATAGATATTGGCTAATCCGGATTTCCTCTGTTTTTTCTTAATTTTTTTAGGATATATTAGTTATTTTTATATACTTCTTATATCTAAATATTTCTTATTTTTACATATGGTTAAGTAGTCATATAAATATACAAAATGATACAAAAACAAAAAGCTTTGACCGTTTAGTAAGAGAGAAAAAACACTTTTTACTGATTTTTTGCTCAAATATGTTTTAAGGTTGGAGGCTCTCAAATGCTAACAAGATTGTAGTTTGTTTAGAAAATCATTTTTATTTGCTATGTTTTAAAACTTTAGGGCATTGTTATTAATTTGTTACATATCAAAATTTCTTCAAGTCTTTGATTGTTTAAAAATATTAACCACATGTTATGTTCTGTAAGTGATTTTGATAGGCGGAAAAGGAGATATTTTCAAGAAAAATATGATCTTTTAAATACATTACAGCTAAGTCTATAAGACATACATGCAAATATACTTGGAATATTTCGTCTGGTCAGAAACCAGACAAGAATCCCTCCTTAAAAGAGATCATGTAAAATTTCTGTTGGCATTCAATGCCTGTTTTGTCTATCGTGCTTCAGGAGATCGAATATAATTTTAAAATAGTTTATTCCCGTTCTGCCATTACCTTAAGCTCATTCAACATAATCAGTACTGACTCAACAGGATATCAAATAGCCCAAGGTGGTTACGATTAAAATATTCACCAGTGCGCTTTTGCATATACATTTATTAAGAATGATTTTCAAACTCCTTCACAGGACTAATTTACCGACTTTTTTTCCATTAGTGAATCCAAATAGCTCGATAACTTTACTGAATAGATTCTTCGAAGATTTCAGGGTATCAAAAATGTCCATTTCTGATATATTTTTCTTTTTCTTCTTAGGATTTTCAAAATGTCGCAAACTCAAATCAAAGACTACGACGAGGACAGTTCAACGCATCTTTTGTCATCGGATGAAGGGTACTATATTTAAATATTTGAACAAGCATGCTAATAGTTTTGCTAAAGCAATCCATGCCCCCACCAGCTACAACAAATCTTGACAATGCACCCATTTCTGAAGACATTCTTGATACTACAAATTTAAGAATTGTACTGGAGCTACATATAGTTGTCTCACTGTGCGTTGCAGGATAAAATGTCACCCTTTCTTTTTAAATATGCTGAAGCTATCCCCATAGATGGCCATAAAGCAAGTCCTGTGAAAAAAATATAGATTATCATTGCAAACTCTCTTTACATTCAACAAACTTTTGTTTATTTACAACAATTTTCCAAATTTCAATACACAGTATTAATTAAATTAAGAATCTCAAAAGAATTCTTGAAAGTTTCATTGTTTTTAAGTAATAATAGACCATAATTCAGCCAGATTGACCAAGAATTGATTGATGGATGGATTGTTTGTTGTTTTACGTCCCTTGCTTCACGATTTCACTCATATGAGACGTCCCTGTATGCTGGTGAAGGGCTTCAAACCTTTATTCGGCACGAACGCCCACTGAGCATTGAGGGATCTTTGCCAATGCCTGCCTTGATACGGGGACTCGGTATTTAACGTCTCTTTTGAAAGACTCGCAACTTTCACTTCAAAGTGCCGACCTCTTGGCAAAGGAACAGTTTGTTCATATTTTTTCATCGACTTATAGGTTTATTGTTGCCGGAGCTTAATTGAACCCAGGACACAATCATAAGCTTTTTGGATATACAGGTCGATTAGAGGTGCACAAATTTTTTAATGTAATATTGGAAGTTTCAAGTTGAAAAATGTTCCATTTTCAGTCAAAAAAGGTCCCCCCCCCCTTAAAAAAAATCAGATCCTAAGAAACTACAACGTGAGATAAAACCCTTATATGCATAATTTCAATCAAATAACACAAAGTTATTTCTGGAACAATTTTTGTTAAATTGTTTTTTTAAGTCGGAGATGGGCTTTAAGACTGAAAAAGATGAATTTCATAAAATTCAAAATTTCATCTCAAAATGCCTAATATGGCAAAGTTTGATTTAGAAAAAAATGGAAGTAAGAATTTTGATGTATGTTCTGTCAATTAAGGGCCATATGACAATTTTTAGTCACCTACCGGTGAAATTGGATGGGACTCTAGGTTCTAAACGCTTGTAGATATTGAGCTGATTTTTGGCATGTGAGTGCACAGTACGGGTAGTTAGAATAATCTAACTGTGTCTCGGGACAAGCCCTCACCACAGTTAGAATACGTCCCATATACTTGCAATGTAGCAAATCGGAGTGGATCCACTCCGAAATGATTTTGAAGAATACAAAAGGAGTTGCACTGAAAATAACTACCAAATTAATCATAACAAACCTTTTTGAGATTGTATATGCCTTATAACCTAAAAAATAATCCATATATATACGAAAATTCAACTCATTTTCTCAACGTTTTTTCCTAGCTTCAAATTTAACGCCATGTTGACATTCGGAACTCTCTGGATTGTTCATAGAAAATGCACAGAGTTCGAGTTATCGCCCGTATTTATTTTGCTACATTGCGAATACACGGAACGAATTCTATCGTTAAACCGGGTCCGTAGGACAATATCATTTTAACGATAGAACGTTCTATCTACAGTACGGGCAACGCGGATTCCGTATTAGACTGCATCCCCTCCGCGTTTTGTTAATCCTTTCTGCGTCACAACGTCGCAGGTTTTTATCGCAGTACCAACGGCGTGCTTACACCACAACAGCTATGTTACAACGCACTTTGAAAAATTACACACATTATTTTTTTAAAGTGCGTAGATTTGTCCCAAATTTAACGCACTTTAATTTTTTTTTCTAAGTGCGTTGATTTTGTCACCGTTTTAACTCAATTTAAGAAAAAAAATTATTTTTATTTATTTATTTTTTTTTTAATATTTTATTTTTATTTTTTTTATTTATCTATTATTCTTGATCTCTCGAAGTTTTTCCTCGGTCCCGCGGACTTCGAGGTATTAAGAGTTATCTGTATTAATTTTGTTTTTGTCTTACAAGGAATTTCGGTAATTTCTGTTCGGGGAGGTCACTACAGTTTGTTTTCGAAACTAGCATCAATGATTTAACGAGGACAGATGGATGATGAGTTTCCCGCGGAGGGAACGCAGTTTACCTGTCTCACCTGGCCAAATTCCGCGTTGTGTTTATACTGCGACGGGGTGCGGGAAATACAGGATCAGCGTTTCCTGTACTGTACCTTGTTGAGTAACTGATCAACTTTGCATTTCTATCGAACCAGATTTCCCGCTTTTTTGTTTTGTTTTGTTTTGTTTTATTTTATTTTTTCCTTTTTTTTTTGGTATGTGAGTCTCCTTCAAACAGTTATAGATCAAGTTTGCATTTTGTTCCTCTTCAATTTTTGTTTTCTTTTTCTTTCTTTCTTTCTTTTTTCTTTTCTTTTTTTTTGAAGAAATTATGGCCTTTTTAATTTTTAAGAAAAACCATTTTACACTTGCCGGTAAGGGACTAGAATTACTTATGTAATACTCTCAGAATGATTGTTACATTTGACAAAAAATCAATTAAGCTTAAGGTCAAGATCTAGTAAATGAAAGGTGCCTACAGATTTCTCAAATTTGAGAAATAAATTCCTTTTATGATGCTTTATAACTTTAGCTTAGTCAAATAAGGTGTTTCGGGACATAATTTGTAAATAAACAAGACGAAAAATCAAATTTTAAACTCATTTTCAATGAAAAATTAAGAAAAGCAGTCATCTTTCCATATCAGACAAAGGAAATGTATCCAGATTGCCTAGAGTCTCTCAGAAATTGGTAATTTGTATGTTCTTGGCCTCTTCCTTAAAATAATATTAAATTGAATATAGGTATCGGGATTACTTTTCACATGATTTCAAATTGAATTCCATGAAAATACTTTATTTTCTACATAATTATATTAGAGCCGTAAAGTACGGGAAAAAGAAAGTTGAAATTGATTATGACGTCATAATGGATCTAGCACCAAACAGTTAGTCTAAAGTTATTTACTAGATCTTGACCTAGGCTTGGACCTGGTCTGATTCTTCAAAGTGTTGATTTACTTCCCAGAAAATCGAACTAAACTAATTTACTTCTACGTACCAAATTCAAACTAATTTTCAAAATGTAACCTAGAAAACAAAAATATCGGATGGACAGACAGACAGGTATACAGATATAAAAATCTATATCCCTTCTAGTTTCATATAATAGTACATTTAACTATCATAATAAAGTCAACTGTCATTTTAAAATTTTGAATTAACTTTTTTTAATATCATGCAGACGTGAAGGTGACATTTTATTTTTGATATTACTGTCCACAACAAATTGGTCGAGTAATAACATAATTGGTTTCTACAAAATAGAACTTCCTTTTACACTAGTTTTTGATGAAAATATTTCAATTATTTTTTTAGCAACACAACCGATACAGTTACTTCTGCGTCAAACGGTAAAGATGAAGGTGAATCTCAACCTTCCAATAGTGAAGTTGTGTTATGTGAAAAGTACTCATCTAGTTTAAACAGAGAGTTTCCAAAAATGGCCACCTCTGATGACGTCAAAACGGAATGTAATGATGCTAACTCAACCGACAGCAGTGTCAGGAATGCGACAAGCGACACTATCCAAGATGGTCAAATACCAGATGATAAAAAAACACTGAGTTTATACTGTGTGCCCTGCAAATACGAAAACATGGACAAGACAGCAACATGCTTCTGTTTAACTTGTGATGAACCAGAACCAATGTGTCAAGAATGCACTTCGCAACATTTGAAACAAAAACAATCCAGAAATCATAAAGTAAGTCATGAGTTAGAAAAGTATGGCACAATAAAAAATACTATAATGTGTGAATCTTGCTCATATAATAAAGAGGACAATTTGGCGGAAGCATTTTGTCTAAGCTGCCGAGAACCGGACCCGATGTGTAATCAATGTGCACATCAACATAAAAAGCAGAAGTTATCTCGGGGGCACAAAATATGTCGAGATTTAAGAAAACTACCTATAATAGAAAAAATTAAGGAGAAAACAATGTGTGTACCTTGCTTATTTGACCAGGCTGAAAATGCTGCATCTGCTTTATGTCTTAGCTGTGAGGATCCAGAACCAATGTGCGATGTATGTGCCAGATGTCATATCAAACAAAAAGACACTCGAGGACATGAAATTCATTCAAATATGCATACCCAACTGGACAAAAGTTCTGCACTAGTTCAAGACTTAACGAGTTTAACTGATTTATTCCAACGGATGCCAGACCATTCATCTACAAATTTGTAAGTATATGCACATTATGTTTTGTACATCTCTTATAAAAACATACGACGTATAAATGAAGTATGCCGTCTATCACTGATAATTCTTACTTGAAATTATTTCACAGGATCATCTGGGAACAATTATCAAAGAGTTCAAAGGTATGTTATTCTGTTTTTTTCTTTGCACGTTAACAGTTTTTATAGTCTTAATATCATTTCGTTTGTCTTTATTTATAAAAATATTATATTAGAGATGTTCACAATATTAAAGTTGCGCATAATACGTAATTAAAAAAATCAATGTATGTTCTCTTTTTATTTCGCAATAGAAGTTTTGCAGTTTAGTTTTATGTGAAGAAATATTTAGCCTAAATTTTAAAAAGTGAGCACTTTTAACAAAATATAAATTATATTCTAAAAGATTTCAGGGGTTCGGCCGCAGATTAAGCAGTACAAGACAGACTTTGCGGTAATCTTTTGGGAAGAAATAAAGCATGCTGAGTACTATCAAATCCGATTCAAACCTTTTGTTTATGGAGACGAGTATGAATGGATGCCGATAGACTCTCAAATCCAGGAAACAGAGTTTAGAGTTGATGGGCTTAAAGCCGAAACAACATACATTTTCCAAGTACGTGGCGTAAAAAATGGAATACCATGCGATTATGGACCTCCAAGTTTTCCTATCCAAACATATCCTTCATTGGCAAGCACTATTCTACCATACTGTAAACAAGTAAAAAATGATGCTCTTCCTACCTTTCAACTACCATATCATTTAGACAACATGACAAGGAAACCAGAAACTAAAATCAAGGAAATAAAACTAGGATTTGGTAGATGTTACTTTTATCATCTCTAAAACTTTTGCATTTTCTTGTAATTAATTAGTTACTTTTTAAAAGTAACTTGAAAAAGTAGTATTTGGAATGCAAAATGTTCGAATGGTTTGATTATGTTTCGAAAGTTTTCAGATTGAGTTTTTATGTAGGGAATCCCAAAATCGGTGCACTCAGCATAGACGAAAAAACTATCATTCTGGTTGGAGCAACAGGATGTGGAAAAAGTACAATGGTTGATGGAATCATAAATTATATCATGGGCGTCAACTTTCAAGATGAATTCCGTTTCACTCTTTTAGAACTAGAGGAAGAAGAGAAAAGAACAGAGAACCAGGTTGTTATTAATGTTTTGAAATTTAAAACAGTCTTTTTTTTTAAATAAATCAAAGAGCAGGAGCCACTCAGGGCCTTCTTTGGCCCTGAGAATTTCTGAAAAATCGAAACTGCTCAGTTTTGGTTGAAAATGCAATATTCATAACTTGGACCCTTGGTGACGGTGTATCTATTGAATATGACGTAATTTTCTCTCTAGTCAATGTATGATGACGTCATAAATGCGTCATTTTTCCCTTATCCTGTAAATTTCCTTAAAAATGGCCAAAAGTTGAGGTGTTTTTCAATATTTCATATATAGAGCACAACCTCTGATCCAAAATATGTAATTACATAATGAAAGATCTGTTTCTGAAGATCACAAAACATGTTTTAATTTTTGGATCGTGGGCTGTGCTCATATTTTAATTCTTTGCTGAACGTAGTCAAATATGCATGTTTTCTGCAAAATTCAAGAGCATTGTATTTTCTCAAAGCCTGCTTTCCAATACCTGGATTCTCAAAAAGAAATTTTGTTTTCGGAAATGAAAGCACTAAGTGTCTACTTTATTTTGATATATGAAATCGGACAGAGGGTGATAGTCAATTAATTGATATAAGGACAGGGCCATTTTATGCATAAAGTGAACCTAGTTCTTTATACTATTATGCTTAACAATTTATTAGCATTTCTGTTATTAATTAATGGCCTAACAATTTTAATGAAAGTCGTCACTCAACATTCGACCCAACGACAGATTGTCTTTGTAAACAAGGGCATTATGACGACCACGAATTTGCGAAATGTGGAATTTAAACGAGATGGAAACCTTGTATCATCAATTTCTTTGTCAGTAGCCTGTCTCTTGTTATTGATTGGTTGATTGTATGCTGTTTATTGTTCCATTCGAGAATCTTCCACTCATATAAAGACGTCTTCTGCTTTATGTAAAATACAACAATTTTGACCTATGCATGGCTCTTACGGCCGTAGGAGTGAGGGATCTTTATCGTGCCAACGCCTACCGAGACACGAGACTTCAGTTGTTAAGGTCTCATCTTAAAAATTTTCACTTCTAGTGTCTGGCGCTTGGCGGAGGAACATTCACTGCCTATATTATACGCCTTAGGTGTGTCCGGGACCGGAAACGAGAATGGACGCAGATAAGTTTTCCATAAAATATCATAGTGCACTCTGGGCCTTCACTTCTCTGAACTACCAATATATGACGTCATAATGGAAAAATGAGGTCAAGTCACTGCAAACTCGAGCTGTTATGACGGGGAGAGTGTCACAAACTTTACCCTTTATTTCAAACTGTACGTAAAATGTCGGAACACTATTGCAAAATTCACATGTTTTAATTGAATTCTTAAATCTTTAATGTCCGAATATTTAAAAATACGTCGCTTATTCATCCTTAATTGAAATTCAGCGTGATTAAAATGCTTACGAATTGAAATCAAAACCGACCTCGCAATCCAGTACTATGTTTTGAACATTTTAAACCTTCCGGAAGCCTTAACATAGCTGCGGAACTCGAGACCTCTCGAACACGAAATGAACGCTATACCACTAGGCTACCGAGACAAATGCTTTCTCGTTTAAAAACTTGTTTTGTTTAGAAGTTGTTTCCAAGTGAAAAATTTCCTTGCATATCGAATCAGCTGGGAGACATAAAATCCCTGACAAGTGAAAATGGCATAAAAGTACAAAATTAAGAGAAAATGACATTAAAAAAAAGTTGAAGTCACCCCGTTCATCAAAAAAGTTAAGCTGTTATTTTGCCATCAGAGTCTTCCTCTAGTGAAATATCCAAATATGAAGCAGATGTATCAAGTTATGTGGTATATCGATTTCAATGGGATATATCGAATTAATGTAGGAATGAAATTGAACATTCTTAATTGATAAAACCTCACCAGTATATATAAATGTCGAATTGAACGCCACAGCAAGAGAATCTTTCTTTTCAAGTAGATTATTTTAAAATAAAGTTTATTTCATAGTAGTACTAAAATGAACTGCTTATAATTGGGCACAACTAAAGAAAATTCCAATAGATCGTTGGAAGATCAGGCCCCATTATCATAAACTTGAATAAAGATGAAGATATCCAAAATTTAATTTTTTTACTTAAATCTATTGCAGTTTATGGTCTTGGGGACTGTGGACTTTTTCACAAAGTACATGTATCTTACGACTAAAAGAAAAATTTTCCAATTCTCCTACAAGTACTAGTACCTAAGCTCAAATCTTATATCTCTTTTACATTAGAATATATAGAAACTATTCCTTTAGAAAACTAGAGGTACTGTGAGCACTGAGCTCACTAAATGATACCCACCGCCTCTCATATGATTATAATGGCATAGTCCATGTTTTGCCCTGGGAGACCCGAAATAAGTGTCAGATCAAAAAGTAAAATAGGAGGTGCACAAGGGCACTATGTAACAAAGATTCTGTGAATGTCTCATTAAATTTCATTCAGTGGTATAAGAGGAGTTGTGGATAAGAGATATGTACCCCACAGCGTAACAGACGGACGGACGGAAGGACGGACACCCCGATCACTGTATACCCTCCCACTTTTCAAGCGGGGGTATAAAAATATTTTTACTAAACAATTACAGATTTGTCAATTTTTATGCCCCCGGATCGAAAGATCCCGGGGGTATATTGTTTTTGTCCTGTCTGTCTGTTTGTCTGTTTATCTATTTGTCTGTTTGTTTGTCTGTTTGTCTGTCTGTCTGTTGTCAACTTTAACCTTGCCCATAACTTTTGATTGGTTGGAGCTATGACTTTCATATTTCACATGTGTATTCCTTGTGACAAGACCTTTCTTTGGGTACCATCATATTTGACCTTTTGACCTTGACCTTGGAGTTTGACCCACTTTTGCAAAATTTTATGAGACTTTAACCTTGGCCATAACTTCTGAACAGTTGGAGCTTGGGGTTTCAAACTTCACATGTGTATTCCTTGTGACAAGACCTTCCTCTGGATATCAACCACTTTGACCCTTTTGACCTTGACCTAGTAGTTTGACCTACTTTTGAAAAACTTTAACCTTGGCCATAACTTTTGAATGGTTGGAGCTAGGGCTTTCATACTTCACATATGTAATCCTTGTGACAAGACCTTCCTTTGAATACCAACGACTTTGACCTTTTGACCTTGACCTTGGAGTTTGACCTACTTTTGAAAAACTTTAACCTTGGCCATAACTTTTGAATGGTTGATGCTAGGGCTTTCATACTTCACATATGTAATCCTTGTGACAAGACCTTCCTTTGGATACCAACCACTTTGACCCTTTGACCTTGACCTAGGAGTTTGATCTACTTTTGAAAAACTTTAACCTTGGCCATAACTTTTGAATGGTTGGTGCTAGGGCTTTCATACTTCACATATGTAATCCTTGTGACGAGATCTTCCTTTGGATACCAACCACTTTGACCTTGACCTTGACGTTTGACTTTTATTTAAAAAACTTTAACCTTCACCATAACTTTTGAACAGTTGTATCTAGGTCTTTCAAATTTCACAGGTGTTTTCCTCGAGACAAGATCTTTCTTTGGGTATCAACGTTTTTATCTTTTGGCCTGAATTTTGACTTGCATTTGAGAAACTTTAACCTTCGACATAAGCTGCCATACGGGGGCATATTGTTTCACAAACACATCTTGTTAATCTTATAATTAAAATTTTTTGTGAAAAGTGCTACTGGTCTCCAAAGACAGGATAGGCATTGTCAATGAGGAACTCTAGTATCTTTTTAATGTCATCCTTAGAGTGATTCGTTTTTAATAATGTAGGTCTATAGATGACCTTTGGAAAGATATGAAAATTTGCAAGTTCCATTTTTATTGAATAAATAGTTCTTTTATATCGAAAGCAAATCAACAAATACCACATCTTTTTGTAAAAGTCAAAGTTTGAAGTGATGCTTACAGTACATCAATTTAAATACTAGTATTTTAATACATATAAGTTATTTTACCTACCTTCTATTAAACAGGCTATATCACAGACAGAGTGGATAACAGTGTACAAGATAGCACCACAAACAGGCAGTCGCTTAGATTATACACTTAATATCATCGACACACCGGGATTTGGAGACACGCGTGGAATTGAGCGAGATGAGCTCCTTGTCAATCAAATTCGACATCTTTTAACAGATAAGAGCCCGCCAAATCTGCTTTATTTAGACTGTGTATGCTTCATTGTCAAGGCACCTGATGCTCGACTCACACCTACACAAACGTATATTTTTCATTCAATTATGTCTCTTTTTGGCAAAGATATTGAGTCTAATATATGCTCCTTGATTACGTTTGCTGACGGTGCAAAACCTCCTGTACTAGCGGCTCTAAATGAATCACAGCTTCCATTTGGGAATCACTTTGTTTTTAATAATTCGGCATTATTTGAAGAAAATAAAGCGATGGATGGAAATTCCTTAACACCAATGTTCTGGGATATGGGACAAAAAAGTTTTCGAAATTTTTTCGAAGCGCTCAGACGTTTTCAAGCAAGAAGTCTCGCTCTCACAATAGATGTTCTTGAGGAAAGAGAACAGTTAAAAACTGTAATTCAAAACATTCAACCCCAAGTCGATGCGGGTCTTACAAAAGTAAACGAGTTGGAAGATCAAATACGTATTTTTGAGAAGCATAAAGCTGACATTGATGCGAATAGGAACTTCGAATACGAGGTAGATGAAATAAAGCAAATACAGATAACCTTGCCCCCTGGTCAACATGTAACAAATTGTATGCACTGTCATGTTACATGTCACGAAGACTGCAAAATTGCGGACGATGAACGCAAGAGTAGGTGTTCCGCAATGAGTAAGGATACGGGGAATTGTAAAATTTGTCCAGGTCATTGTCATTGGTCCGATCATAAAAACACGCCGTATATATTTAGATTTAAAACTGAAAAGGTAAAAAAGATGTACACTGAAATGAAAAGAAAATATGAAGAAGCTGTAGGAGAAACCATGAACTATGAAACATATATTCACAATCTTAAAGGTGATATAAACGACGTGTTCAAGAAGATAAGGGATAATGTTGACGAAATGAAAAGATGCAAAAATAAACTTAACGAAATCGCATTGAAACCTGATCCATTATCTTCGGAGGATCATATTAAGATTCTGATTGAAGCTCAAAAGAGTGAAAAACAACCTGGATATGATAAACGGATTGCCGTGCTTCAAAGATTATTGCACGTTGCATTAATCGAAAAGCGAGTAGAAAATCTTCGTGAAGCTGCGAATAAAACAATAGACCGTGTTTCCGTCGTAGTAGGAAACGAGTGGCAAAGGAAACCAAAGAGGAAAGGAATATTGGATAGACCTGTTAACTTTTTCAAACGATTTTTTTGAGAAAAATTGATTTGAATATATAGTTGATTCTTTTAAAAGTATAATTTTCCATGTTTTCCCTGTATATAGGTAGTATAGGTAACAAATTGGACAGGTAATCATTTTCCAATTTCCGCTCAAAAGTTTCATCAAGCAATATACAATATTTGTGTTATGATAAATGCAAGTAATGCATACATGTATTTTCATTTTATTATGGTACTGAGAAATACGTTATTTGTACATGTATGTCAAATTGATAAATCTTATAACACAAGGAGCAATATTCTTTATGTATATAGTTTTTATGTGTGTTAAAAATTTGGCGTATTACTTTTTAGCCCTTTACAGAATAAAATCAACTTTAGCATGTTACTAGTATGTCTCATGATATATGCTGGGTATTATGAAGGCACTACAATTATTTTATAAACAAAAACACAGTGACAGTATAAATTAATTGATGTCACACCTATTGCTGCAATCTTATTTGGCAAGTGATCCCGGCAGCACTTTATTTTAAGGGAGTGAGATTAAATTTTATCATTATGCTGCTTATCGACTATGTTTAGCCCAGAGTAATAATATCATGTCTGGAGACTAGTTCAAGTTCTCTTCATTCAATCAAAAACAAACCATTGATACATCAGGTACAATATAAGCACGGAAGCGTATAAGTGCCATTTTGACACTTTTTATTTTTTTTTTTTTATTTCTACACTTTAACCTGTAAAATTTACACTTTAATCTGTAAATTTTAAAGATTAAAGTGTAAAATTTACATTTTAATCTGTAAAATTTACACTTTAATCTGTAAAATTTACACATTAATCTGTAAAATTTACATATTAATGCGTAAGATTTACACTTTAATGTGTTAAATGCACTTTTTAATCTGTGAAATTTACACTTTAATCTGTAAAATTTATACTTTAATATGTAGAATTTACACTTTAATCTATAACTTTTACACTTTAATCTGTAAAATTACACTTTAATCTGTAAATTTTACACATCAATCTGTAAATTTTACACTTTAATCTGAAAAACTGTACTGTAATCTGTAATAATCGAACGGTCTTTTCATGGTGTTATACCTTAGACATTTGAAAAATAGTATAAAACTGAAATGTTCACAAGTGTTTGCATACAAGTTTATACATGTATATATGATAAGTAAAGATGCCCATGGGCCTCGTAATTCCAAGCAAAATATCGGAAATCTGCTTTCAATCCAGTATATTTCTTTAGTACTATAGTAAAGAGCGACGAACAGTCAAAATATATCTCAAATAATTTTGTCTTCTCATTTGCAGTTCAGATTGATATACAAGTTTATGAGTCTATGATCATGATGCAAAATATAACAGATAAAATTACTGTGATTTTAGAATGTAACAATAAAGAAACATCATTGAATCAGAGGATATTTATTTCTATGTTGTTCCAAAATAAATATAAACTCATATACTTTAAATATTTATACATGTATATACTTCAATAATTAATATATTAATTGGTTATTTAAAAATTCTCAATTCAATAAATAATTCAATTGTTGCCCGTACAACATGTAGAATGTAATTCAATTAATGCTATCAATAATTGAACTACTGAACGCATCAAATGAATTTGCGTATAATGATATCAATTTCATATTCATCGTGAAGATATGTGTGTTTGATTTGTTTTACACATCCACTGAATTCGTAATTCTCTCAAATATTGATTTGAACATATTTTATTGCAATAAATATATACAATGGGATTGGGCACAAGTTCTAAAAACTTAATTCGCCCTCTCCCTACATGTTATTTCACAAAAGATTCAATCAGACGTGTCCAACAGCATGTACAAAGTAAATATTCTATGAAAGTCTCATATAAGTCATACTAGATTGCTTACTATTTGTATTATATCCATACATATAATATCTGATAAGTAATTATTTTCCACATTTATTGTTTAATATAAAATCAAAATCAAATTTTATCATGCAGGATTCATGGTTTGTTGGCTTTAAAGCGTGTTACTGAAGATGTATGAAGTTGCCAAATTGATTATGTGAATTAAACAGATTAAAGTGTAAATTTTACATATTAAACTTTGAAATTTACAGATTAAGGTGTAAATTTTACAGATTGAAGTGTAAATTTTACAGAGTTAAGTGTAAAATTTGCAGGTTAAAGCGTACATTTTACAAAGATTAAATTGTAAGTTTTACAGATTAAAGTGTAAATTTTACAGATTAATGTGTAAATTTTACACATTAATGTGTAATTTTTACAGATTAAAGTGTAAATTTTACAGATTAATGTGTAAATTTTACAGATTAAAGTGTAAATTTTACAGATTAAAGTGTAATTTTTACAGATTAAAGTCTAAATTTTACAGATTAATGTGTAAATTTTACAGATTAAAGTGTTAATTTTACAGATTAAAGTGTTAATTTTACAGATTAAAGTGTAAAATTTACAAATTGAATTGTGGTAAATGAAAAATAAAAAAGCGTCCAAGTGGCATTAATACGCTTCCATACATAAGGTATATGCAATATTAGTTATCCAGTTTCAATCAAGGGTGCACGGGGATTTACCCGACCGGGTACGGTTGTATTTCATACACCCTGAGGCCGATTCAAGTTTGGTGAAATGAAGGGCCAGTTTCAGGTAGTGTAGATTCACATTTGTTCAATTCATGACCCCGGGTAGGGCGGGGCCACAGTAGGAGATCAAATTTTTATATATAGGAATATATAGGAAAAATCTTCTCCTGGAGAACAATTACGAGGTAGTCGTATCGTATAAATATGGAAGCATCCTCATTTAGTGTATATTCCAGTTTGCTCAAATTATGACCCCCGTGGGTTACCTGGGGCCACGATTTGTGATCAAAATTTTACATGGGAATGAATCTGCTGATGAAAAACAACAGGGTCATATTGACTCAAGTGAGCGTTGTAGACTATGGGCCTCTTGACAGGATTGTGGTGGCAAATCTTACAACCAGGTTCAAAGTATGAAAACATTGAGAAATTAATATGCAGATTGTGAATATCAATGTTTTCATTCATTCAAATTTCTCATTTTTGTTGAAGTGTTAGTAAAACTAGCTGCTATTAAAGTTTCGGTTCAACTTTCCAAATTAAGAAAATCAATAGTCATGTTTACAGTGTTCACTCATTTTTGAAATCTTAAAACCCCTCTGTTACATGAATAATTATTTTCGATTTTAAACTGATTATTCCCGTAAGTTTATGAACTGATATAAAGAAATGAATCTAGATTTATGATTTAAAGCTGAACACGATTCGTACAAAGAAGAGAGTTATCACTGGCCGCCATATTAGTTTTAATCAAGATTTTCAACAAAGTGAAATAATTTAAACACAAATGCACCCGTTCAATGAAATCAAACGTACACAAAAAAGACTTTAAGATATTAATGTTGTCAGATCGGACGATTTTAATAACCGGTTACTCGCTTACTTTTGCGATCGAGTGACCGGTTTTTCGGATAGTTTTTCCTTTAGACATCGAAACAGTCCAGTTTGTGGTATATACATGTATATACTCAGCTGTGATATAAACTGTATGTTTTGTCGTTACAATTTCTATATTTATCTGAACTTTATTTATAATTACAAACACACAATATCTGCTAAATAAATTTGTTCTCGTACACCTCGTAATCGTTGGCTGTTTTGCGCTTTATGTATCGCTGGTTTCACAGTTAAATTTCAGTTTGAGGTGTTAAGCATACTAGTTGTTCCACCCGTTTCACATAATTTACACCTCATGAATTTAAATTCAGACATTCTTTTAAAAATGTTTCCGTGCTTTCGATAAATGTGGTGGCATCTTTTTAAATCTTGTACTGCGGACTAGCACAGGTTTATGTGAGGTAATTATACGGTAATTAATTAAATCAAGCCTTCAAAACTTGTATACCCCTTGCAATCAAAGCCATTAATTATAGACTAAAGTTCATAGACTGTGAATTACTAATCAAAACAAATCGATCGCATTTGTCGAGACTAACGTTAAATAACGGTAAATAAAATGGGGACATCGTAAACAAAAATATATTATTCCTACTGATTTACTTTATAAATTCAATATATCCGAGTAACCGAGTAGCAGTTTACTAACCGATACTCGCATCGTTCGACGATTAACCGGTTAACCGGGTACTCGTTGACAACACTATAAGATATACATGTACTTCACGCAGCAGTGAACAGGTAAAAGGAAGTTGATTTGATCAACGCAATCAGGTGTAACGAATGCAAAGGTTTTATGTACTCCAGTGCTAATATAATGAGATAGGGAATTTAATATGTACATGTACGAGTCGTGTTAAATATTATTAGAAGTGTATGTGTGTGTGTGTGTCTGGCAAGGAAGAAGGGGTTACTTCGTAAGTTGATCATTGTATTTTTATGCGCTTGCAGAAACTATCCATTTAATTATTGGAGAGAGAGAGAGAATTTCAATTTTGCTGGTCTGCAATGCATGTGATGTGTAAAACAGTATGAAGTACGAAGAATGGATGCAGACAAAATTACAATGCTTATTACTGGAGCTCAGAAAAGACTTTGTTAATTCTTTTTTAATTTTATGATTTTTTACACTGTTGAATATTATTATTTACCAATAAACCTGCACAAAGGAAGGGCGGGTATACAGGGTAAGGTTTTAACACTAGTACTATATTAACAACCTTACATAGACATTGGAACAGAAGAGGTGATGTCGGGCAACTCATTTACTCTAAAATCGTGCAGAACATCTTTATTTCTCTCTCACTTTCTTTTTACACGAAAGGTATTGTAATATTATTTAAAAGAAGATAATATCTTCTTCTCGATCCATTTATAATGTACCTAATATACCTTATATTGTACGAAAATATATAAATCCTAGTTGTCAATAAATCCTAAACCCCCTCTCCGCTTTATTTACACCTGTCAATGCAAATTAATATTTTTTTTTCTAAATTTCTTGCCTATGCCTATCAAAAAGCACAATAAAAAAAAAACTCAGTTGAAAATTATTCTCAACTTCCTGACCAAAGAAGTGTGTTATTACATTTTGCGTTGTTGCATTTTGGTTAATCTCGACACATAATTAATGTAACAACACAAAATGTAATAATCTCAGCGAGATCCGTAGAGAATATAAAATTTTGGTCTGGTATCTCTACGGAGATACCAGACCAAAATTTTATATTCTCTACGGATCTCGCTGAGATTAAAAATGTAATAATTCAAAAATTGTTTTATTACATTTTGTGTTAATCTGAGATTGCTTCCTACGGGTCTACAATGACCGTGTAGTGTAGGGCGGTGCCGCAAGAATTCCATCGGCATCGAAAGCAAGTTTTTTAGGCTAGCCTAGATGGCCGAGCGGTCTAGCGCGCTGTTCCTGTATTGCTAGGAGACAGATTCCGTACGTCGAGAATTCAACCCCGGGCTGGAAGTGCGTATCCTTATAAAATTGAATTTCTTTGTGCTTTCTATATTAATATTTCTTTACTTAGGGCATTTATATTAGTTTAAGAGTTGTTGTAAAATGTGCAAGAGAGAGAGAGAGAGAAAAGGTAATCGAATACGGAATGGCTGATCGGTTAACCACAAGACGTTCCGACTGATAAACAGGTTAATCGTAGCAAAATAAACATTTTCTTGGCTTTTTTTCCAAGAAGCTCTATTCATAAACACAAAGACCACAACAGACTTCAGAAGTTTTAAAAAAAAAATTTAAAATGAATTTTTAAGAAAATTGCAAACAAATTTACATATATATTTTACTTTTTCAAGTAATTTCGACTAACCGATTACAATCGTTCTGACCGAGTAATCCGTTAACCGGTTACAAATTGCCATCCCTAATATGTTATATAATTATATGTGAACAAGAATTGTTATTTAAGAAATAAGGTATCATTTTTAAACATCTATCGGGATATAAATACGGGTTGGTCACGAGATCAAATTCCATAAAGCCCGAAGGGCTTTATGGTAAATTTGATCTCGTACCAACCCGTATTTATAGCCCGATAGATGTTTAAAAATGATACCTTATTACTTATATTTACATTTGTGACTTATTCATATTTTATATTTGCCTGATTATAATCTTTAACGCGTGAAACGTTTTAGTTTTCAAACCCAACGGCACTTGTTTGATCCTCTGATTGCGCGTCGACCCTTTATGACGTCACTGAGAAATTACGTCGAACGTTTATGACGCGAGGAACCCGTGTTTATACGGATATAGATACACATTGCTTTCAATAGTGTTATATAAAAGAAAACATTTGCAAATGTAAATATATATCAATAGATGTCTTTTGTGTTTATTTGATAAATTTTAAGAGAAAAAATATGATGTTTCTGTACATGAATATATAAACATGCCGATGGTTAATATACCCTCAACTTTTATAAACACTGAAAATAAAACTAAACTTTCATCTCAGCATAAAATCGTTATATATTATAAAATTATTAATCCTCTGCAAAACAATTGTCAAAGAATTTTTCTGAGTTACTTTAACACTAGAAATCAGAAGATAAGATTTCAATACCTGGTACTCCTTCAATGTTCATCTAAGTGACACTCTCTCTCTCTTACTTGTATTATTGGAACTAAACACGTTCAAGACCTCTTTCTACTACTAGTATAGAATACCATACTCAAAATCTTTTCAGGAAGTAGTGACTGAGCATTTTTCAGTCTACACATCAAATGAATGTTTCAAAATAAATGTACATGCAAGTTTGATAAGATGACTGCACTTAACGCCTGGTTTTGGGTCTTTTTCGGTTGCTTCTGTTGCTTTTATATCTAAACCTTGTCTCACTTTTGTATGTTTATGAAAGAATACTATCAAAAGAATACTATCAATTTGGAACCACGTTTAAAACTTAAAATGATTTTAGACTGTGACACAATAAAATGATTCAATGTATTTTGTCCTTACTGCTTTCCAAATATAGTGAATTTACACTTACCTGCCCTTGATTGAACATTAGACATGCATGAGAGGTGGAGCTAATATTGTAAGAATGGGTCTAAAATTAGACTTGATAAATAACAATGACATGTTTGGAAAAGCGAACATGATCACTCTTTCCAATCTCCCTCTCCATTCTGTATGGCACAAATACACTTCTGACAAAGGTTTCAAAACGAAATTAACAATACGAGCACGTCAATGTAATTAAATCAACGTCAGATGACTTAACATGTTCGAACACAATGTCCTAGTTAGCACAGAGCACGCTACCTTACAAGTCACGTGACGGAATTTAGTATTCACAAAGTTACCTGAGGTAAAAATCACGTGGTGAATTATAATATTCAACATGTCACAATCCTTGGTTACAGCACAGAGAGCGAATTAAGAAGAATTACTTTTTTCTCTTTTTAACCATGAGCGCATGTTTGTCTGTTAATCTCCTTTTGACACATTATTATTTATGCAAATATACAACTACTGTTAAACGAAGAACAATAGACAAACATGCGCTGACTATGTATAAAGTCAGTAAAAAAAGTGGGCGTCCTCATTATCGAACGGAGATTTAAGAAATTGTGATGACCCCTGCCTTTGAAAGCAGATTCGAACTTCGGAAATACACACTTTTATTAAACGTAATTACATAAGGTTGTAGATTGGTTGTTGACCATTCTTGCAATGAAAAGAACAAGATGTGTTTGTGAAACACTGATGCCCCCGTATGACAGCTTATGGTGAAGGTTAAAGTTTCTCAAATGCAAGTCAAAATCCAGGCCAAAAGATAAAAAATGTTTAATTTGAAAGCCCTAGCTACAACTGTTCAAAAGTTATGGCAAAGGTTCAAGTTCTTTTAAAAGTAAGTAAAACATCAAGGTCAAGGTCAAAGTTGTTGGTATCAAAATGAAGGTCTTGTCACAAGGATTACATATGTGAAGTATGAAAGCCCTAGCACCAACCATTCAAAAATTATGGCCAGGGTTAAAGTTTTTCAAAAGTAGGTCAAACTCCTATGTCAAGGTCAAAGGGTCAAAGTGGTTCGTATCCAAAGGAATGTGATGCCACAAGGATAACATATGTGAAGAATGAAAGCCCTAGCATCAACCATTCAAAAGTTATCGCCAAGGTTAAAGTTTTTCAAACGTAGGTCAAACTCCTAGGTCAAGGTCAAAAGGTCAAAGTGGTTGGTATTTAAACGAAGGTCTTGTCACAAGGATTACATATGTGAAGAATGAAAGCCCTAGCTCTAACCGTTCAAAAGTTATGGCCAAGGTTAAAGTTTTTCAAAAGTAGGTCAAACTCCTAGGTCAAGGTCAAAGGGTAAAAAAGTTGATATCCAGAGGAAGGTCTTGTCACAAGGAATACACATGTAAAGTTTGAAACCCCAAGCACCAACTGTTCAAAAGTTATGGCCAAGGTTAAAGTTTTTCAAAAGTAGGTCAAACTCCAAGGTCAAGGTCAAAAGGTCAAAGTTGTTGGTATCCAAAGGAAGGTCTTGTCACAGAGAATACACATGTGAAGTTTGAAACCCAAAGCACCAACTGTTCAGAAGTTATGGCCAAGGTTATAGTTTCATAAAATTTTGCAAAAGTGGGTCAAACTCCAAGGTCAAGGTCAAAAGGTCAAATATGGTGGTACCCAAAGAAGGGTCTTGTCACAAGGAATGCACATGTGAAATATGAAAGTCATAGCTCCAACAAATCAAAATTTATGGGCAAGGTTAAAGTTGACAACAGACAGACAGACAAACAGATAAACAGACAAACAGATAAACAGACAAACATACAAACAGACAGACAGGACAAAAACAATATACCACAGGGATCTTTTGATCCAGGGGCATAAAAATGTTTGTTTTGAAAGTTTATTTTGTTGCAAATTCCGCATATCCTTAAGTGCAGTCATCCTTTTTGGGCATAACAAACTGTATAGTCAATTGAAGAGATGTGGCCTTATTAGTTGTCATTGCTGGTTTGCTAGCACTAAGATTAGACATATATTGAGAACTGGCTAAATATACTGAACTGATCTTTTTATTTTGCTTTAAAGCATAAAATCAGCAACAATGTCAACATATTTAAAATCACACACAGGTAACCTGTAAGGTATTTTAATAAAGCCTGAAACAATGTATAAATGTACATGAGAGTTTAAAATAACACTCAAAATCATCAAAGCAACCTCAGTAATTCAGAATCACACTTCAAGCTGACTCTATTCAGCTTTTCGCATACTGAGAGTCTTTAACAAAACATCTTGCAAATTGAAAGTCATAAAGAATAGAAGACATATGTTGAATCAGTAATTGATGGAGTCACTCGGAATCACTGGATGAACTGTCATTTTCAGCCACAGCTTCACTGTTGGAGGATGCACGACCTGATGAAATATACATTCATATTTACATTGTATTTCAATTGCAACAGTAACTGTTAGCCTCGGTTATGTTACCATAAAAAAGTAAATATTGTAGAAATAATGGGTGCAACAACAATGTTTTTCAAACACATCTTTTATATCAGCAAGAGGAAGAAATTTGACCTGGATCTAAACAATCTACTAGTAATTAAAATCAGACTTCTTAGATCTGTGCCATATACACTCTGCTAAGATAAAGTTCATGTGAACATGAGCCATAGTCGAGTCATGTCAGATCTTCTTGCACGGAGTGTATACTATGCAGATCTAAGTAGTTTTAGTTAGGCTGGAATCTAAATTTCATTTATCACATGATAATAGAGTATTTATGTCATAATTTCAAATCTTGCAGTAGTCAGTATTATAATTACTTTTTAATACAGTAAAATCACATATTTTCGTGACCCCACATTTTTGTGGATTTAGGAAAAACCATGGATTCGTAGGGATTTGATTTCGTGGATGAAGAATTGTTGAACAGTTATGTGTATGACATTTTATATTTCGTGGTGGACATGAATTTGTGGGTCTCTTCATACCACAAAAACAGCGAAAATTAAACCCCCATGAAAATTAGTGACCTCACAGTATTCTAAAACTTGATATATAAAATTTTTGCGATTTTTTCCAAAACAGATTTATAAGAAAGGATCCTACATGTAACCTACATAGCATCAAATACATGTATTCATGCTAGCTTTCCCTATGTAGAAGCTATAGCCTAGAATAAATTGAAAATCATATCTCTGCATAGCTGCTTCCATCTTGAATGCAGTCCAGGTTTAAACGAAATCTTTTGCAATGTTTTCATTTGAATCTTGAGGGAAATACTGCTATGCAATCTATGATCTAATACCGTATAAGTGGAATTTTTAGCGACACACAAATTTAGTGATTTTTCCTAAAAAATCACTATCGGTATTTAATTTTAGCGAGAAGTAATTTTTGCGATTTTATGGTGCATAGAAATATAACGGTTACCTCTACTGCAGAATAAATTGTAAGCGATATTTAATTTTAGCAATCTCGACACCCTTGCTAATAATGCCAAAATTGAATCCTCGCTAAAATTTCTGCTTATACCATAATTGCAAACCTACCTGCTCTGATCTGGTTGAGGGAGGCCAAAACACGCAGCATAAAAGCAGCAGGAACAGTAATGGTGTCTCGTGTCTCCTCCAGCATCACTTCATTACGTCTCATGATCTGAATATATGTTTTTCATAAAAATTATCCAGACTTTAAAAGATTTTAATTTTGTGCTAGATAATCAGCTTACTATAAACAAATTTAAACATTTATCAAAATTGAAAAGATTGTTAGGTTTTCATAATAAGATCCAATTTCTTAACTTGGAAAGATCCACTTACAAGTATCTAAACCAGTTTCCAGGGGTTCATGTTTCACAGAATTGTATTCTTTGTAGGTTTTTTGAGATTTATCACTACTCGTTATCCTCACCTCTTTCATTCATAAGACTAGTTTTATGAAATCTAAATATCCTTAGAATTAAGAAGTGTCCTATTTCATGTCTGACTTACCTCAGCAGGAAGTGACTTATTTCATGTCAGACCTACCTCAGCAGGAAGTGACTTATTTCATGTCAGACCTACCTCTGCAGGAAGTGACCTATTTCATGTCAGACATACCTCAGCAGGAAGTGACTTATTTCATGTCAGACCAACCACAACAGGAAGTGTCTGTTTCATATCAGACCAATCTCAGCAGGAAGTGACCTATTTCATGTCAGACCTACCTCAGCAGGAAGTGACCTATTTCATGTCAGACCTACAGTACCAACCAGACTCAACCTGACACAAAGCAGTCCCAGAGCAGTCCCGGGGACTGCTTTCTGGGACTGCTAAAGCAGTCCCACAGCGGTCCCAGAGCAGTCCCACAGCAGTCCCAGCGGTCCCAGAAAGCAGTCCCAGCAGTCCCAGAAAGCAGTCCCAGCAGTCCCAGTGGGCGGGGTTAATTAATTTAATGGGCGGAGCTTACCCAGAATGAGATTACCAATAAACAATGTAACTATAAAAGGCAGTTGAAATTGATGATCATTTCTTTCCGAGTAGTTTCAACAAATATTTACAATTCTTACGCGACAGTCATTTCTGAAACAAATAATAATTATTGAAAGAAGATGTTCACACCTATTAAAAACATGAATATTTAAATACAATTATTTGGTATATTTATTTTTGACCCAAATAAATCAGTTTCTTTATTTTCTGTGATTGATATTGGTTTTCATATTTATTTATTATTTATATAGAAAATTAAACTTGAACTGTTTATTTTCTACCAGAATTAGCTTTAAATAGATCTTACAATTATAGAGCAAGGCAGATTCATATACTATACTCTGAATGCATTTTTCTTAAGTATTGGAGCTTTTGAAAAATTCTTTGTTAAATATTGCCGAGTATTATACTTCAGTCATGATTATTTTCAATGACTTGCCAATTTAATTATCTTTAGATTCTCAGTTTTAAGTGTTTTATTATATAAATGTTCGAGTGTACATTTGTAAATCATGCGAATGGAACCCTCAGATTATGTTCAAAATTAATTAATCCCAAAATAAATTTATACACAATTATTGAAACAAAGATTTTTTTGCAGTACATAGATTGAAATTAGTGTCATTGTTGACCAGCGTGTTCAGTGATGTGTAACACCGATACCCAAATAACATGCATTGACTTTCTGCTAATTATGCCCGAAGGCGATTGAAACCTCAGGTGTTGACACTATTTTATACAATTGTATTGCTTTTTATTAATCGGCCAGGTAAACATAAACAAAACAAATAAGAAATAAGTCACAATTCCCGATATTTTCAAATAGTTATTTTTTAAATATATATAAATGTACTCTTTTAATAACTTGTTTATAAATTAAAAACTAATTCATAAATAAATCCCCAAATAATTGTTCACATTGTTTATGTGACAGAAGAATGGTAGAATAATTTTATTTTATGGTCATTTAATAAATTATTAGGTTTTATTTGAGGGCGGTAAAAAATAGCATGAAGTGCTCTTTTTTTAAAGCATGGTATTAGCTTTTTCAATTAAGAAAAAAATTCAGTACAGTACGTTCCTCTGAATGTCTTACTGAAATGACAAGTTTGTTTGTTTTTTGTTTGTATTTTTTTTTAAATAGTGCCAATGCAAACTTTGAATACATAATTTGACAGCATTAGTTTATTAAATTGGCCTAGATAATTTTGCTTCAAACACCTGTATTGAAGTTTAATTTAAGAGATAAAAATCATCCCCTGACCTCCCTTTTTAACTGCTTTCATTTTTAAAAATTAATTCTAGACTACAATTGTGTAAACGTACAGCCCCTGAAGACATTTAGTAATTACATGTATAACTATCCCTACTCTCCCTCTCTGTAGAAAATAAACAAAACAACAACAGGGAGCTGCCAATTTAGAATACACAAGGGGCGGAGCTATCATGTCACTCAGAACCTTTTTCATGCATGAGTGAACAAAGCAGTCCCAGAAAGCAGTCCCAGGGACTGCTGGGACTGCTGGGTCTGCTTTCTAGAGCAGTCCCATAGCGGTCCCAGAGCAGTCCCACAGTGGTCCCAGAGCAGTCCCGGGGACTGCTTTCTGGGACTGCTTAGGTGTCAGGTTGGGTCTGGTTGGTACTGTACCTCGCAGGAAGTGACCTATTTCATGTTAGACCTACCTCAGCAGGAAGTGACCTATTTCATGTCACTCAACAGGAAGTGCCTATTTCATGTCAGACCAACCTCAGCAGGAAGTGACCTATTTCATGTCAGACCTACCTCAGCAGGAAGTGAACTATTTCATGTCACTCAACAGGAAGTGCCTATTTCATGTCAGACCAACCTCAGCAGGAAGTGACCTATTTCATGTCAGACCTACCTCAGCAGGAAGTGACCTATTTCATAGCAGGAAGTGACCTATTTCATGTCAGACCTACCTCAGCAGGAAGTGACCTATTTCATGTCAGACCTACCTCAGCAGGAAGTGACCTATTTCAGGCCAGACCTACCTCAGCAGAAAGTGACCTTTTTCATTTTAAACCTACCTCAGCTGCTACCTCTTCCTCAAACTTTGGATTTTCCTCTAAAGGCATCCACAGTTTGATGTCATAGTCTATACCACTGGAGGCTAAAACTACATGAGTGATAAACCACATTACATATCAATTGTTTAGAATAAATTAATTGTAGTATCATTTAATGTTTTTTATATCAAGTGCAAAAAATCTATACACTTTATACCTATATGTGGATAAACTGAAAAAAGGAAACACTGACGAAAACAACTTATGAGTTGTAATTGTCAAACTCTCCACTTTAAAAATTCTCATCATTCTTGAAAAGGAATTTGAATATTACTAGGCCCCCAAAGTTTTTTTTTCAATTGTGTAGATTTACTATAATCATTATTAATCTTTAACACATTAATATAACCATACTGACAGTCTTTATTCACTAATAAAATCTTAAAACCACTTCACTTAATGAATATTTTTGAAACTGATTAATTCATTAAGTCTGTGAGCTAAATAAATAAGTTACACTAACAATGATTATGACTTTTACAAAAAAAAATTATTATAATTTACTTGGATCATAAGGATGTGGTTGTAGACAGTTGACAACATGACGGTCAGCCTCCAGAAGCATGGCTAGCTTAGCGGTGTATCGATCCCAGATAAAGATGTGGCCACAGTCCGAACCACTCATTACAAACTGGTCACCCCAGAAGTTAGCTTCCTTTATCTGTCAAATAGAATTTTGTTGAAAATCTATTCATTTTTTTAATACAGAAAATTCTTTAAAACATGAAAATGTAACAAAAATTTAATGCATTTAATTACTGGCAAAAATTTTTAAAGAAAATTTATTTCCTGAAAAGAAAATGTTGGAGAATATATGGCTGTGTAATTTTTTGAAACGTAATTAAAATCTGAGGTTACTAAACACCTAATTTATGAATTACAAAATCTTAGATTTGACAACATACTATTATACCTTGTATCACTAGATACAGTGTACATGTATATACAGCTTAATACATATGTGTTATTTTTATAATTTATAAAGTATGCTACAAGCTTTTTACCATTGTTCGAGCATTCCTATGACCTTTGAACTTGATTTTGTGGAGGGGCTGGTGGATGCTCCTCATCTCTATCTCCTCATTCTCTCTCTCCTCCTGGCGTTTTTTGTACAGCTCCTGTAGTCTGATGGCGGTAATGTGTCTCTCCAGGGTGTCCCTATAAATTATGTCAATGCATATCCATAAACTGAAAGTGTGGATTTGTTATAATGTCATGCAGGACTACTCTGCTAATCTTCCTCAGTGATTACTGCACACAGGGCAATTTTCGCCTCCATTTTATTTTCACCCCTTTTGCCCAAGACACAAGTGGGCAAATTCAAAGAAAACAGTATAACTTCTTAAGGGAGCCGACTGGGGTTTTATTGTGTGAAAACTACTATAGAGAAACTCTTTAATTTTATACCATATGTACCTTACATTGACTTCAGTACACATGCCAAGTTTAGTGAAAATCTACCGTCTGGTTATATTCTAGGGACCATCTCAAAATACAGGTGCATTTACCATAGGATTATATAGGAAAATACCATTTTTTCGCACTTCGGAGCAAATTATACAAATGCTACTATAGACTTTTTGCTCAAATTATATTATTTGATAGGTAATACTATATTGTACATTTTATGCAAGAAACGCAAAATTCTACCGTCTGGTTTCCAGAGGGGACATCTCAAAATGTCAAAATTCCTGATATTTTCCTGTTTTTATGGAGTACAACAAAACATGGCAGATACCACAGATTTACATAAAAAATAATCAAAATGATTGTGAGATTCTCAATTTCCTATATTTAAAATTTCAAGAGCCTATATTTTATACTTTTTATTTTATGGCATAATAAATGACCCCGCTTAAAGAACTTCAGTTATTCATTACGTCAAAAAACACACTATTGCGACGTCTATCTACCCATCATTTGAAAAATCGTTAAAAAAATCGGTTATTTAAAAACGTAATTAGATTTTTTAACCTGGGATTTCCTAAAATTGTTAATCTTTTTATAAATTATGTAAAAATAGTTGCTTTAAAATAGTAAATACGCTTTATTTTACTTTGCTGCGCGAAGTATTGCGCAATGAAAACCCCAGTCGGCCCCCTTAAATAGAAGTGTGACTGGGCAAATTTAAAATTAAAAAAGTGTGAAAGGGCGAAAATAACCCTGTATACAGTATTACTTATTTTGGTAATGAGCAGAGAAATTTCATGAGTTGCTCAAACTACTACGAATGTATCTGCATCACTTGAAATAAAATAGCATATCTCTTGACATCTCTGGATGAGGACTTTTTACAACATATAAGTGTGGTCCTCATAAGAAATAGTCTATGGCTAATTACAAGTATATGGCCTGACATGAAATCTAACCTTTGACCTTCCCCTTCCTCATCTGATCCTACATCCTCCTGACCTGAGTGAGGAGTCGTCCCCGTTCTACTTTCTTCTGAACCTCCTGCAGCTACACTACCTTAAAGCAATAAAGGAAAAAAATTATTGATTCTTCATGTTATTTTATGACTATCATTGCACATCATCATAGTTATAAAATTCTAAAAGTTCAACTTTATAAAAAATATTATCTGGAATGTAGTAATTGAAATGTTAGACGATACCTGTTGTCCGGTCATCTGTATGACTGATGCCCCTAGGAACTGGCAGCTCCTCCTCTTCTGAAGTTCCACCATCATCTGTGTGTCTGTCCTGCTGTGATCCAGATACCCCCTCCCTACAAAGTCTTTCTAAAATCCTCATCCGTCCAATCTGTCTTATCTTCTCTTTCACAGCTGCGCTGGCGTCTCGTCGACCTGCTCTCCTTGGTTGACCCTCTGAGCTGGTTGAAGGTTGATTGTCAGAGCCTGACTCAGCAAGAGTTTTACTAACATTTTTAGTTTCATGAGATTCAGTTATAGAATCAGCTCCTTCCTTACCTTCAGCACTTTCACACTGCTCACCAGAATCCACTTTTGCTGACTCAGCAGAACAAGAATCACTGTCAAAAATATCACTACTGTCTGTAGAATCAGAAAAACCAACAGAGTCTCTATTTTCCTCTTTATTATCTTTCACAGAATTTCCCATTTGAGTAGTCACCTCAGTAGTGTGGCTCTCTAAGTCTCTATTTCCTGTTGGAGTTGTCTCTCTGACTAAAGGCTGTAATGAAGCATTCTCAGCACTTCTCTGTAGAATACCAGCTTCTAAATTTTCAAATCTGGCAAAACCAAGTCTGACTGTACTGCTGGTGGTGCCCTCAGAGGAGTAATGCAGACTAATTACTGGCTCCTCCTCAACCAATAATCCTGCCTGGTGCCTCCTCTGCTCACCTGAAATAATATTCCTTCCTTCTTGGGGCCCCCAAATTTGCTCATGATTTGCTATCCCTCTGGATGCCTCAGAAGGACCAGATTGAGTAACATTAACACCACTGTCTGACACAGCTGTCTGGGATCGGGAAAGACTACTGGGTTTAGGTATTGCACTTGGTTTGGAATTGACATTAGGTTTATCACAGACCGACTGAAGATTGTCTCCACAGCTGACGTTGTCTTGGTTTTCTACACTGGAATCTTGATGTGATGAAAAATTTTGTAATCTATCACTGTCAGGGGTGTTTTCTGTTTCCATTTCTGCAATTTTTAAAAACATTTTGAAATTGGATGACATCAGATATGATTTGACACAAACAGAAGGTTTATTCTAGCTAGCCTGATTGTTGTTGATGTGCATAGCTGAAATTTTCCTCCTGCTCACAAATTGTTTGTTATTTACAACTGCATCCTCACAACGATAGGGGTCCTGTGTCAACTCATTGCCCTGAGACCCCTGACAAATTTCATTTGATATCTTACAGGCTAACTGCAGCGATGTCTTTTGGGAAAATTACAAATCTTGATTGTTTTTCTTATCTCTCAACCAATCACAATAAGCCTCTGTAACACGTGCATTCTGAGTGTCAACTGATTCCTTTCTGTTTACAGTATCTGTCTACTTCACTTTGAATGGTGCTTCTCAATGAGAGAGGCAGGCCTGAATAAAACTGAATGAAATTTGTCAGGGGTCCCAGGGCAACAAGTTGGCACAGGATCACTGATGTTGTGAGGATGTTACAACTGCAACACTTTAACTGACCTAATATGAAAATCAAATTTTACCTTCAACAACAGAGGGTTCCCTGACAATTTCATCACCTCCTTCAGTTCCATTTTCCTCAGCCTGACCCCCCGAGGCCTGATCTTCAGAATTGGCTCCCTGGACTTCATCACCTCCCTCTTCCCTCCCATCCTCCTCCTGTCTTCTTAGGTTACCATCTAACCATCGTGTCAGCATGTCCGACATTCTCTGCATAATAGTGGTCTGTCTGTCTGGTTGTTCTAAATATGAAAGTGAACAAAACGTTCAAGATTTACAGTAACAATCAACACAATATTTGTTGACTGCACTGTACAACACTGCAGGTCACTTTTCATTGTGGACATGTCAAAGAGGTGTCATAAACCATACAACATTGCATTATTGAATACAGGGAAATTTTCCCTCTTTTTGCCCTCATTGCAAGTGGGCGAATTTATAACATGGTGAATTCAAAGTAAGCAGTATTATCTCTTTAACAAAACTGTGTCCGGACAAATTCATAATGGGGCAAAATTGTTTGCAAGTGTAAAAGGGTGAAAATAACCCTGTATACAGTATTCTAACGTACAGTGTAGCAGAAAAATTATACTTAGCAATAAGGAAAAGTTCTATTTAAAATATCATTCTTACCATTTGTCTGTCGCTCACTCTCAGGTCTGGCATGAGGTCCAGTGTCAGACCAATCTCCACGGAGACGAAGTCTTTTGATTGGTGGTTGCCTTAGTGATGAGCCTGACCCTGATGGGTTCTGGGGTAGTAACATGGAAGTGACCCCCTCAGAAGTGGACTGTCTAGGTGAAGAGGAGGTATGAGGAGGAGTGCTGGATGGGGGAAGGTCAGCTGGGGGGACTAAGGGACTCCTGGGGGTTGGTTGGGGGTCAGTTTCTTTGGCTTTAGGTGGTGCCTTAGATGTAGATGGCATGTCTGCTAACAAGTCAGATGATTTGAATTTCTTTGGTATTTGATCACCCTGAAAAAGAACAATCATTAATAAAGCATTTATATTTGATTCATTCTTTTATGTCTTTCTTACATTTACAAAATCTGATTTTAAAATTAACCAAAAAATGTTCTTGAATTGGTTGAAAGTAGGGATGGCAATCGAATACAGAATTGCCAATTGGTTAACCGCAAGGCGTTCCAACCAATTAATCGGTTAATCGTATCAAATCTTCTTGAGATATTTCTTCATTGTAAGCTATATCTACACAAACAAGACAATTTTAATGTTACATATAGTGCACTGTACATAAATATTACCGGTATGTTTATAATTTATCAGATTTATACATTATTTCATTATACATAATTTCAATTTTAATAACCCCCCCCCCCCCCCACCACCACCAAAAAAATAAAAAGGAATATGCCTGGAGTACAATATCAGTTACATAAAAAAAAAATTAAGAAGAGATGCCATGCATTGTCAGTGTAATCAAAACTAAAACTGGACTATCGCTTAATTTACAATGTTTGTTTAATCATACAATTTGATAGGTAACTGCAAAGGATAGAAAAGTAAGGTACACATTATAATCAGTTCGCAATACTCAACGATCATTTAATTAAAATCATTAAAGAAACACAGGACAGATTGGGTAACGACATGGTATTTACACAGCAATTAACATCTCGAAAACTAATTACTCCCACGGTGTCCATCTGTATAGCCTTAATTATCTCTGAATCAACTTAAATAGATAGGTGAAAATGCTGACATTTCAGATATTTTTATTGTATCTTTTTAATTGAATTTTTTTTTATGAAATTGTATTCAGATTTACACATATATTATTTTTTCCGACTAACCGATTACAGATTTTCTAACCGATTACCATTGTTCCGACCGAGTAACCGGTTAACCGATTACAAATTGCCATCCCTAGTTGAAAGTTAACCTTTCATAAGAGTGACATGTGTAGAAGCATTTGAGCAATGTAAATAATGATAACTTGCCCTGTGTTTTGTCTTTTTAAAGATCTCTGCAGGTGCCTGTAATTTCTTGGTTTTATAATCCTGTTATAATACATGTACATGTATATAATATAGGGTGATATTTAAAAGATAAAATACACACATTAGAAATCCAACATATTGAAAAAAACAAGCTTTAAGTATCCACCATACAGAAAAACAGAGCAGTAGTGTTTTGCCATGGATGGCTGGTATACCTACATTATATCAATAAATTCAATGCATTCATTTTTTTCTTATATTGGGTGAAAAATATGTTCCTTGTAAGAATTAATTTGCCATATCCATGTTAAAAATATTAAATATGTTTTACTTAAAGTTAACACAACTCATACAATATAAAAGAAATCTACCCTTGATCCAAACAGGTAGATGTATTCTGAGGAATAGCTGACCAGAATATCATCTCCATTGGGACTGTAAGCAAGGGAGGTAATCCTATGCGGCCTGTTGGACAGGGTTGGTGCAGTGAATTTACAGATCATTCCTGTGATACCTTTACTACTGTGGGAACCTTCAGTAAAGATTTCATACAGAATTTTTTTTATTTTAACAGTGTCATATCATATTTCACCATCTTCACAAGCCAAAGGTTTTCTATTACATGAATGTAATAATGTACTCACCAAAAGGGAGTATAGTGGACTGAAAACCTTTGTTTTTCAAAGATGAACTAGCACTGCTTGCAATTATTAAGAATGATATACAATGTAAAAACAAAATAAACAAAGCCTATCACAGACAGAAATGTGGTTCCTCATTAAAACAAAAATTCCACTTATCTAAAAGACAGAAAATAATATATAGAATTAGGTGTTAAAAATATATTGTTTATTCATAGTAGAGACTGATAATCAGAAATTTATATCATTTCCCTGGTTCTATTACTTAATTTGATTTACAAATGAAATATGTAAGGTAGTTTTCATTATTCTTACAATGAAGCACATTGAAGTGGTAAAATTTTACATTTGATAGGAAAGTTTAGGCGTTTCTTTTCGAACGTCAGTTGTTACATAATGACACGCCCATTTCCTTAGAAACGAGGAAGAAATATTCGTTGTAATGCTTTCAGACACCCACTCTCTGAGAGTTACACTGATATGGAGATTTAATGAAGTTATGAGAGAGAGTTAGAGACTCCCCACTTCTGTAAAACACATATTGCAACAAATATGTACATAATTATGAATTTATCATGTTTATTGGAGTAAGCATAACACATGTATCGGTCGAACACGAGTTTACTCATTGTTTATGTCAACTGTCAATTGATTGGTGATTGTATTTATGGAATACCTCTTGAACAGGTATTCAAATGAACCATTTGATCACTTTTTTTTTCCTTTCTAAAGAAATGGGCGTGTCATTGTATGACAATCAACGTTGTAAAGAAAGCCCAAAACGTTCCATTCAAACGGAAAATTTTACCACTTCAATGCGCTTCATTGTATATGATCCTTTTTCACTATTATGGAAAACAGGGTTCAAAAGGCAATAAAATTTCAGCACTATGCTAATTAGATGAAAGACAAGTTACTTATTTGGACCTTTAGTAAAGCAGTTGTAACACCATTTGGAGAGTAGTATTGCCTCCTCTTGTATTACGTATTAAACATAGATGATGAACAAATGTATAATACTTAACACATTTTTGATGGTATACTGGAATTAGGAATATCATACTATTGATACCTGAGGCTCTGGTTCCCAGCATTCTCCTGTCATATATTCTCACAGAACTGTCAGCACATGCAATGCCCAGTTCATAGGGAATCAGGGGGTTAACAACCAAAGACGTAACAGCTCGCCGGCAGTTTATAAGAATGTCCTGAAAAAAAATATGTGGTACCGAATTCACTCTAAAATCAAGTATCAAAGTATTGAACAAGATATACATGTATTTCCACTTTAAAATCACACCTTCTTTCCATTCTTATTTAAATAACAATATAAGGAATATATTATCATAGTACATGTAATGTATTTCCATTTTCCTATTCAATAGAATATTTCAGTGTATTACCTCCCTTGACAATATAGCAGTAGATTACCTCCTTACAATCCTCCCTTTGACAGGACGTCTTGGCCCTGAGGTCAAACCAGCGGACCGTGCCATCCTCTCCACAAGACAGAAAGGTGGAAGACTCACTGGGAATAACTACCACCTGTTATAAGAGTGAAAACATTAAAACAAAACTCTATAGCTTTACAGGATAGAAAGAACTCACTGGGAATAACTACCACCTGTTATAAGGGTGAAAACAGTAAAGCAATACTGTAGCTTTATGAGATAGAAAGGACCCACTGGGAATAACTACCAACTATTATAAAGATGAATTTCTATATTAATTTTGTGACTTCACAGTACTGGATAGATTCAATGGGAATAAAATATGATAAGATACAAATATGATCATTTCAATCATTTAAAAGAAACTTCCTGAGCATCAAT